AAATAAATAAATAAATAAACATATTTGTTGAGTGAGAAGGGTGGTTCAAAAATGTGAAATATAAATAATCATGGATACATTGTATTTTAACATTTTTGTTATTTTTCTTAATTTTTGTCTGTTAAGCACAAGAAAGCAGAAATGCACTAAAGAATGAAAAGATCAAGCTTACTAATTCTCTAGCTGTAATGTATACATTCTAAACTATATTGAAGTTTTCAGGAATCTAAAAATTCTGAATTCAATATGATCCCATCTGTTCATTTTAATATTTTTTTCACAGATAGTTTACTGATTGACTACCAGTTTACCTTCAGTCTGTTACAAGAAGATGATCGTCATCATACTGCCATAAACTTCATTGCAAATCCTGAACAGGTAAGTTGATATAAATGAGAACATGTGTTATAATTTTCTATTATAGTTTTATTTTATATGTATCTCTCTTTCTAAACAAATCTCTTTGAAAAACAGAATGGAGCCAAATAGAATTGTGTTAGATAACTTTAAGACAATCAGGAAGTAAGTGGTTATGTAACTGTTAGCTTTGCAAACCTTAATACTGAAGCTGACAAAAAATGGCTATTCTTCTCTAGTCCTCTTGTTCTTACAATTTTCACACAGTAAGCTAGTTTGTTATCCCTCATTCAATTTCTTCATTATTTAGTGTTACTCATTTGGTCTATGGGGTTGTATGGTTAGGATTAAGTAATCAAGCTGCTTCTGTGAAGTACAATAATCCTGCTCTGGAAGCAGTCATAAAAACATATAAGGATAAATGATGTAGATATGAAAAAACAACTCCACATAAATCTGTAACATTGTTAAATTTTAGCTTTAAAAAAATTATAGACCATATTGGTGGCTGAGTCTTTACTTCTTATACTTTTGTAGGATGAAGAAGTATTCTACTTTCTTATTTTTGTAATTAAACTCATTTACCTTACAAAATAAGACATCATCAGTGCTAGGAATAAGAGTTTTAGGTGCTTGGGTATTCTAGTCTATTCCATTATTTCCCTGTGTCAGAGGCCAAATCTTTCCAAATCCATTGAACGTAATCAGGTCCAGTACAAATGAGAGAATGAACTGTTTCATTGCTGGAGTTAGTGTCATGTGGACCAGAGTTTTGATTTCTATACATTAGCAATTGCCTCTTTTTCCCCTTTAATCAAATATGCTTTGAATAACACACAATAAAAAAGACCATAAAAACAGCAAAACAAGGCAAGTTAAAAAAATGAAAACANCAAGGCGATCAAACTGATCAGTCCTAGAAGAGATCAACCTTGACTGCTTTTTAGAAGGCCAGGTTCTTAAGATGAAACTCAAATACTTTGGCCACCTAATGAGAAGGAGGGGCTCCCTGGAGAAGAGCCTAATGCTGGGAAAGATTGAGGGCAAAAGAAGTAGGAGATGACAAGAGAATGAGGTGGCTGGATGGAATCACTGAAGTAGTAAGTGTGAGCTTGAATGGACTCCTGAGTATGGTAGAGGACAGGAAGACCTGAAGGAATGTTATCCATGGGGTCGCGATGGGTCGGACATGACTTCGCAACTAACAACAAAGGCTACTACATTTGTTTTATGGTTCATTTTCAGCATCCTGAATTTTCAGAAATCACAATTCCTTTGTTATTTCTATAAATCATATTCTTTCATGAAAATGTGCTCAGTTTTGACTTCTCTAGAACCCAAAAGAGACAGAAATTTTCACATCTGGATTTGCCTCAGGTGCTTAGGAAACAAAAATAAGAATATTAGAAATAAGCAAGGCCTTTTACAGCTCACTATGACTTATTTGGTAAATGTTTTGAATTTGTTAGGAAAATTGTTTCAAGCTAATCCAAATAACAGAGACAGCCCTTGCTCTATTCCATTTATATGATTCCGAAAATATATGCTCCATCTCACATAGTTTAAATAACATTATTTCGTTCTTACCAAATAATTTAAATGATTCCTGATTAAAATGTCATGATATCATGCTGATATATGAACAATAAGCCTTCTAGATTCCCTAGATTCCCCCCCCCCCAAATAACTCTCCCAAATATACACCTGTCCTGTTGGGTTTTCATTTACATTCCGTCTTTTAGCATTTTTGGAAAATGTATTTTGTATTTTGTATTTTTTCAAATACCAGCCCATTCTGTTCTCTATTGAATTATACAACTCACTGTCTTTCTAAACCCTCTCCTATAGGAGAGCAAGAGATCTTTGTACTTGGATACTAGTGGATATCTTGGGGATGTGACCATCTTAATTTTATCTAATTCAATCATTGAAGTAATAAATAGGGCAGGTGCCATCCATGCTGCATAACTCCTTGTATATGTGTCACTGCGGAAAACAGTCATTGATGGTTACTCTTATTATCTTACTCTCATAAAATTTGATATGCAAATTTTAGAACCTATAAAGAAATTCCCTACTAATAATGGTAATGCTGATCTGATCTTGAAAAATCTTTCTGATTGTAAATGGCAGATTTAAAGTCCAGAAATCATACATATAAATGTAATTTTAAATTGGGAAATTGTTTCCAAATAACATAATGTAGTACCAGTATATAGCAACAGCACTTTGAGTTATATAACACTTCATACTGCTCTCCAGCACTCTTTAAGTGGTTTACAGAGTACAGCATATTTCTCCCAGCAATCTGGTCCTCATTTTACCGACTTTGGAGGGATGGAAGGCTGAGTCAACCTTGAGTCTGTGAGGATCGAACTCCTGGCAGTGAACTGAATTAGCCTGCATTACTGCATTCAACCAGTGCACCATCATGGCACCTAAATGGTCTGCAGTTGATGGACTTGGATTAAAGACAACTGGTTCATCTTATAATTTTTTTTCTAATTTCCTCCAGGACTGAAGCTTGTTAATTGCCAGTATGTTTGCATAGAATTTATTGCTATGCCACAAATGTATAGAAATCAGTATTATTATCTGCAATTTATTTTATAACACTATGCATAGTTTTATTTAGCTTCAGTATTTAATAGTTGAAATAAATACCTTGCAGATAGTGCTAGGAAGATTTTTTTTAACTGTTTGAACAAATGGCTTAAGTTTGGCCACATGTCAGATATACTTGCATAGCTTATATTACAGAAGTGAAAGCTGTTTGGAATGTAAAATTGTCTTATATTAAAATCTGGTGGGATGTACATTTAGACAAAAAAATCTTTTTTTATTGGAATGTTTATTCCAAGAGTGACTTTGTACATTGTATATTAAATAAAAGTTATCTCAGGAACTGACAAAGGTAAGATATTACTAAAAAATATGTAGCAAAGAAATAGCACATAGACATTAATCACTACTGCTATTATTATAATTATAATAGGTTTTAAAAAATAGTATGCCTACTAGTTTTTTTGTCAATATACTCCTAAACTGAACTGCTACATTGCACTATGCTATTTTGCCAATTAAATGGTTTTGCATTATATATTGATGCTAAAATTGAGTATATGGAGCAGTGTGAATTTGTACCCAGGCTCTACTTCAAATGTTACTGTTTTGTACATCATAAGAGAATATATCCCTAGCCTTTTTCTGACCAGCTATAGCAGTGGTTCCCAAACTTGGCAAAATAGCATAGTGAACAGGAGCAGTTCAGTTTAGGAGGACATTGACAAAAAAAAGAGTAGGCATACTATTTTTTAAAACCTATTATAATTATAATA